CTTCTTCCCAATCTGTCTTAGTCTGGGGCCATGTCCTTATTCCTAATCTTAGTTTGGAGGCTCTGCTGAAACCTGTCCACCATGGTGACCCTGCCAGTATTTAAAATATCGGTGACATAGTTTCCAGCCTTACAGCAGCATGCAAGTTACCACAGTACAACAAATTGACAGACAAGTGATGGTAGATGATGAAAGGTAGACATAAATATATACTCTGTGCCTGATATGTCCAAAGGGCTTCCTATGCATTAACTCATTTAATCTTTACAACAACAGTGTATCATAGATGCTGTTGCCCTCATCACCCTGAATGAGAACAATGAGATGCACAGATGCTGGCTGACTGATTTCAGATCATATAGGCAGCAAGTGAAAGAACTGGGATTTGAATCCAGGTGGTCTAACTGGAGAAGTTATGATATTAATCACCAATATTGTACTGAATCTTGATAAGATTAGATAAGATTAGAAGATCTTCCTTGAAATAAACATTATTGAGTTCTGAGTTGCTATTGCTCTTTCTTTTCAGGATTACATATCTACTTATTTCAGGCAGAATTTTAAAAACAGAGCTGCGTAAAGATCTATTTTACTGTGGAAAATTCCTAGGCCTGATTCTCCTCTATCAGTGATTTGCATAGAGAAGCAAGTTGGCCATATTCTTGAATACACACCCCAAAACTCACTGCTACAGAGTCGATTCTGACTCACAGCAACCCTGTAGGACAGAGTGGAACTGCCCCCATAGGGTTCTGAGGCTGTAAATCTTTACAGAAGTAGATTGCCACATCTTTCTACCACAGAGCAGCTGGAGGGTTCAGACCTGAGACCCTTCAGTTTGCAGCCTAGCACTTACCTGCAGTACCACCTGGGTTCCTTTATGAATACAAATAGGGGCATAAAGTAAGATCAGAGGGAAAAGTGCGCACAAGGACAGGCTATGTGGCTTAGAGACAGTGGTGTGCTGCTAAATACTTAACTGGCTCTCTGGATGGGGGGGGGCGATTGGTAGTATTTGCCAATTTCCAATTTCATGGTGTAAACACTCCCACCATGGTTGATTTCAAGCTAACAACCTACCATCACTGAACAAGGAACTAGGAAAAGATGCTACTAATTAGCTCTCATGAGCCTGCTCCCTCACACTGCTGCTTGAAGGAAACCCCAAGTTTTATACTAGATGCCCAGTCACTAGGCAATACATGTAGAGTTGGCATAGAGAAAGTATGCAGAGATTTGAAAGGGACCTTAGACTAGCCCCAGACTCAGTGATTCCTTGGCAGAAATTGTTCTCCTTTGCTGTCTATTTAAATTCAGGAAGCTAATTAAATGTTTCAATGGGGCCTGTTTTTTGTGTGTATCTTTGACAAGAGACAGAGATAGATCCCCTCTTGCTGTGTTTCCTTATGTAAGAGCTATGCCTACCCTTTGATAAAACCATTTTACCTAACTCTGCTTTAAAAATAGAGAAATAGTTCAATGTGATGCCATCTCCTTTTCAGCTATCTTCTATAACTTCTAAAATCCAATCCTTTTTTTAGGGGGTTGGGGGGTCACAGTATACTTTTATTTGTACGGTGATAGTGATGGCTTGGCTCTTCTACTAGACAAACAGTATAGAAGTCAGGAAACACTCAAATCTAGGCTTTTCCAATAAGTGATTTCTTATTCCATGTGGCATGCATTGAGCACCACTCTTTTGGCACAACTCCAGGGGAGAAACAGTGAGGTTATCAGATAGTTGAGTCTACTTCCTTGTGCCCTTAAACTTGTGTACATCCTTTATACTGTTTATTGCTTAATAGAGCAGGTGAAATGTAAATAAACTGTCCAGTGGACAGTCTTCCCAATTTTTGTGGACTGGCTAGCACTACTGCCTAATGAGGAAGATAGAAGAGTTGGGAATAACTTCCAGGCTCCTGGTGTAAATAACTTGTTGTTGTTGTTGTTATGTACTGTTGAATCAAACCTGACTCACAGCGACCCCTTCCTTGGGTTTCTGAGGGGGTATCACTATGGAAGTAGATTGCCCAAACTTCCTTCTAAGGAGTGGCCAGTGGGTTTGAACCACCAGCCTTCTGGTTAGCAGTCAAGTACCTTAGACACTACACTACCAGAGCTCCTAAACAACTTGTAACTTGATTAATTAGAATGATGTGTGGATGTAGCTAAAGGTGCAGATTATTGAGGAGGGGTAATGATGAGTTCCATTTTTGATATGGTGAGCTTGAAGAATAAAATCCAATTCTTAACCACTATCTCAGGCATCTGCAACATGATTAGCCCATAAGAATGCACCAACCATGGGGCACTTCTTGTTGTGGCTGCCCTGATTCATAGCTGCCTTATACACAATAGAATGAAAGCCCACCTGCTCTTGCACTAGCCTCATGATTGGTTGTGCATCAGACCTTGTGATTAATCAGGTTTTCATGGGCTGATTTTTGGAAGTAGATTGCCAGGTCTTTCTTCCTCATCCATTTTAATCAGGAAGCTCTGCTGAAACTTGTTCAGCATCATAGTAACATGGAAAGCTCCAATGACACACAGGTGGGTTGTGCATGAGGTGCACTGGCTGGGTATCAAACTTGGATCTTCCACTTGGAAGATGAGAATTCTACCACTGAACCAGCACAGCCCCCCATGGGACACTTAGACCTGCCTAATTCCATGGTCAAAACATTTGATCAATGCTGCCACCCTTGTTGGAAATGTATCCTCCTGACACCGGAAGAACATGGGCAAGAGCATGCTGGTTCATCACAAAAATCCATCGGCACGACTGGAGAGACAGGCCAGACAGGTGCCCTGAGTCTCCTCCATACGTGAAAATATTAAAAAGAGTCAACAGGGACCTTAGACATAGTTCTCAGTTTCTTCTAATTACAAAGGTCAAAGAAAATGGCTAATTATGATTCTCACCTCCTTCCAGGTCAGTGGTTCCCAATCTGGGGTGATTTTGACCTCTAGGGGATATTTGGCAATGACTAGAAACATGCTGGTTGTGACACGAGGTGAGAGATGCTACTAGCATCCAGTAGGCAGAGGCCAGGGATGCTGCCAAACTTCCTACACTGAACAGGACAGCTCGCCATAACAAAGAATTATCTTGTCCAATATTGTTGGTACTGCTGAGGTTGAGACATCCTGGTCTACACTCAAGATACTGTTTTCCAAAAACTAAAGACATGGCATTCTTACTCCAAGGTTCCAATACAAATCATAGTTTATTAGCTGTCCAATGCCACTTTCCATTCATGTCCTGGGTTTTAATTAAATTTTATGAACTACCAGTACAAATCAATACAATGCATTTTTTACACACCAACAGTTTGAATGTTCTTGAAGCTTTTAAATAATGAGTTTACTGTGGGCAAACAGAAGGCAAGGAATCCCAGAGATAATTAGCTCATGCATCTGGTGCTGGCTAATAAATAAATAATCTTCACATGAATGTAGAAAGTACTCAATGTTAACTGTATTTATTATTTTAAAAAATAGTTTGAAACTGTAATAAAATGCAATATTCAGAAGCATCTTGGTGACTGAGCAGAGCTGCTTAATTTTAAAAAGAGTTAAATTTCTTCCCCCTAGACTGGGGAGGGTGAACATGTAGCAAAAACTTCCATTCCGCTAGCCTCTGGCAGATGGATTGATCTTTCACCAAAATATAATTTTCTGCATTTCTCCTCATTGAGGCCAGAAGCCAGAAGCCAGAAGCCAGAAAGAGCACCCTGCTTTGAAAAGAGTTTGTTTGGTTCACATGGTATACTTTGGTTTATTTAAACAGGTAAGAAAGTTGTCCCCAATTCTCCTGAGGAGAAAATGTTTTCTTTCAAATGTATGAAGATATCACCAGTCTGAATGTGGTTTTTTTTTTTTTTTTTTTTCTGTTAAGGTGAAAAATTTCTTTTTCTTTCTACTTTCCTTTTCTTTTTTTAAATTCCTCTAGTGTTCAGTTGCTCTTCTTCGGAAATACTCATCAGATAAAGTTGCTATATGTCTTGTTCTGTCAGTAGCCCCAGGATCAAGCCTTCCGCTTGACTGACAGCTCTGAAGCTCAGTGTCTGACAGGAGGCAGCATCTGGCATGTCTGTGGGGAGGGATCGCAATTTGATGCTTTGAACTCAATGTTCTCATAATGCATCTAAAAGCAATTCCTTTAAAAGTATAAAAATGTATGGTAACTTGTGCTTGCTTAGGAAGGCCTGCAAACTGGTATTTAAATAAGCAGAACAGAACTCACAAACAAAAAGAAAAATGCATTTTTAAACCAAATGAACAAATGGAGATGGTTATAAGTACAAGAAAAAAATGAGAAGGTTAGTTTTGGTTAACCTTGAGTGGGGAAAAAAAGAAAACCAAACTCACTGCCAAGTCGGATCCGACTCATAGCGACCCCTCCTTGGGTTTCTGAGGCAGTATCACTATGGAAGCAGATTGCCCAGTCTTCCTTCTGAGGAGTGGCTGGTGCGTTTGAACCACCAGTCTTCTGGTTAGCAGTCAAGTGCCTTAGACACTATGCCATCAGAACTCCCTTGAGGGGGGAATGACAGAGTTATTTATGGTTTCTTTTTTTTTTTTTTTTGGTCCATTTGGTTTTGCTTAATAGACTCCCAAGGATGGTGATGAACATATCTCCACATTTCAAAAGGCCTCCTTTCTGCCTTCGGATATTTTCGCATTCCTAGAAACTACCAATAGAATCCTTCATATGGGGAAAACTGTGCTTGCCTTTCATTCTAATTAGCTTTCTACAAAACTCATCTTAATTCATGAATATTCCAATGAGCGTAGAAAACAATAGATCTCATTTTGCTGTAAACACCAAACAATACTCAACACCTCCACTGCCAGGCTCCTAATCTCACAATCATTCTGCCTTTGTCAAGACACTGCAGGAGGTGCATTTAAGCTACTTTTGCAGGCAAAGTGGGAGATTTGAATTTCTGCTGCATACAGCCAAATAGGCAGAAAGAGAAAGTGTTGCTTTCCTCCTCTCTTTTACCAATGAGTTAAATTCTTTTGTCCCCCTTTATAGGAAGTCTTTTTCTTGTTGCAATCAGTCTGTCAGTAATTGCAAAAGGAAAAAAAAAAGAAAAAAGAAAATGTCTCCCCAAATCCATCCTCAGGAGTTCATGTCTTTTTGCTACTTGTTTTCTGTTTCTGCTTGCGAAGGTGAGCCTCAATCTCATGCCTGAAGACCAGCATCCCCAGCTGCCCGTGGGAGGCCTCGTTCATGGCCTTGGACTGCATGCACATCTTGTACTGCTCCGGGGTCAGCTCATCTACACAGCGCTTCTCATGCCAGAGGTGGAAGAGTCCCCGCACGGGTGTGCGCACCACTATGAGGTGGCTGTGGAGGTACTTGCGATAGAGGTGCACGTCCTCTCCACCCCAGCCTCTGATGTCCAAATCAAACCCACCTGTCGGGAGAAAGCACACAGTTGAATACTGTAGCCCATGCATTTCCTCATCTATATTTGCTTCCCTGAGCACAGTGCCTAAGGCATCTGACTGGTAACCAGAAGGTTGGTGGTTCAAACCCACCAGCCATGCCGTGGAATCAAGATGGGGCAATCTACTTCTGTAAAGATTTACCTCCTCGGAAACCCAATGGGGGTTGCTAATGAGTTGGAATTGACTCGATAGAAGGGTTCTTTTTTTTTTTTTTAGCTACACAAGGAGTTCCTAGATGGCACAATCAGTTAAGTACTGGACTATGAACTGAAAAGACAGCAGGTCAAACCCACACAGAGGTACCTTGGAACAAAGGCAATCTATTTCCAAAAGATTACAGCCTTGAGCATCCTATGGTCTACTCTGACACACATAGGGTCATCAGGAGTTGGAATCACCTTGATGGCAAATGATTTTTTTTTATTTGCACATGCACAGAATTTTGCATTAAGAGGCATTTAGGAGATACTGTGTGCTCCCCAGCTTGCTCTGCTTAAAGAGCTCTGGTGGTGTACTGGTTAAGACATTTGGCTGCTAATCAAAAGATCACTGGTTAGAACCCACCAGTTACTGCACAGAAGGATGAGACAGTTGGCTTTTGTAAAGATTTACAGCCTTAGAAACCCTGTGGGGGTTGTTATAAGTCAGAATCAACTCAATTATTGTTTGTTTGTTTGGGTGATTCCCAAGTCCGGCCAAGTTACAAGAGTATCTTTCCTGATTAGTGGCCTTGAAAATCCCGAAACATAGATAAGCCTCATGACAGACAGCAGCAAGTCCTTGAGATAAAAAGACTATAAACAGGACTTCCGGTAAGATGGTGGAATAGGTTGATAAGCTACACAGACCTTCTTCAACAAAGAAAAAAGAAACCAATTAACAGAGATACAGAAGATAATCCTGGAGCTCTGAGCTTTGAAAGGAAGTATACAGAAGTGGATCAGGCACCAACTAGTGGAAAAACCTGAATGAAAACAGTGAGTATGGAGACGATCGGAGCTGCGGACTGTAAGCCTCTGATGGAACCAACAGGCTGAATATTTCCAAGTGGTATTGGGACCTGATAATTGACCTAAAGATCAGCCCTGGTCACCAAGGGCTGCTGGGATAACTGCCATGGTGGCCTATGACTAGGAAGAGAAACAGCAAGGAGGGAGACAACCTGAGCTGTGGACTTTCTGCTGTCTGGAGGGTGCAGCCATTTTGATGGTTTACAAGCAGCAGCCATTTTGAATATTTAAAGAGACTGAGGGCACAGCCATTTTGAATGTTTACAAGCAGTGACCATACTGGATTTTAAAGTGAAAGCATTCTCATTCAGGTTCTAGGGACCTAAGAATAGGCTCCATTTGCCAAGGACAGCAGGGACACATGGGAGGCTGACAATGGAAAAGGAGACAGGTGGTGAGTGTATAAGTGCTGCCAACTAGAGAATAGAGGAGCACAGCACAGTACCCTGCTTATGTAGATAATATACAAACAAAACAAAGCAAATGAAAATCGTGGGTAAGTCACTTGAACATATACTCACCAATTAAATATAAACAACAAAAAAAAAATCACAATGCCTTGGAGACAACAGCATCACAGTCCACACAAAGAAGCAAGAGAAACAAGGGACCAGGATAAAGACCCAAAACATATCCCTGAGGAAGAAGCAGCATTGGAACTCCCTGATAAGGAATTCAAAAGAATTATATTTAGGGTACCTTCAATGGATTGAGAGACAGATCAAGAAAAATGCTGACAAAATTAAGGAAAACACAGACAAAACCCTAGAAGAATACAAGAACAAAATGACAAAATAAATGAAAAATTAGAAATGATACAAAATCTACAGATAGAAATCCTGGAGATTAATACTGAATTTTCAGAAATAGATAACACATTGACCAGGCAAAGGAGTAGAATTGAATCAATGGAAGACAGAATTAGTGAGATTGAAGATAAATACCTCAATACTTCTTTGGAAAGGGATCAATCAGAAAAAAGATCAAAACAAAATTAAGAAAGCCTAAGGTTCATGTGGGATACCATCAAAAGGAATAACCTATGTGAAATCAGAATTCCAGAACAGGAAGAGAAAAACAAAACCATTGAGAAAATTATCGAAGACTTGTTGGAAGAGAATTTTCCTGGTATGATGAAAGATGAGAATGTATGCATTCAAGAAGTTCGATGAACCCCAAACAGGATAGGCCCCAAAAGAAAATTACCAAGACATCATCAAATCACCATCATCAAACTCACCAAAACCAAAAACAAAGAATCCTAAAAGCAGCACGGGAAAAACAAAAAGTTACCTACAAAAGACAACCATTAAGAGTAAGCGCTGATTTCTCAGTAGAAACCATACAAACGAGAAGGCAATGGGATGGTATATATAAAACCTTGAAAGAGAAACATTTCCAATCAAGAATTATATACTCAACAAAACTGTCCCTCAAATATAATGGTAAAATTAGGACATTTCCAGATAAGCAGAAATTAAGGGAATTTGTTAAAACCAGGCCAACCTTACAAAATATGCTATAGGGAGTCCTTTGGACAGAGAACCAACAACAGCAAACAAGTGACCATTGACATACATGAAGACAGAACCCAGAAACCAACCCAGTAATGGAAGTATCCAAAGTAAATAACCCTGTAAGATTGTAAATGGGGAACCAAAAAGGGGGAAAAAATTGTGTAGTTACAGAATTTCTAAATAGTAGGTTAGTCAAGACAACTGCAAGATAGAACAGACTCTTCTGAACTTGGGAAGAAAATTATAAATCACAGGGAAACTTCAAAGAAAAATGATAAACCTTCACATCAAAATAAAAAAGAGGACCAGCACAAATATTTAGCAAATACTAAAACAACAGCAATGAAGGAAGTGATAACATGATTCATAAATAAAACGAGCTCAGCACAGAAAATTATAGGGAACAAAGAAATCAGCAACACCATGAAAAAGCACATAAAAAAATGCCAGCAATGAATTCATACTTGATAATTACATATCTGACAAGGGATTTATCTTTAAAATTTATAGAAAACTCCAGCACCTCAACAACCAAAATATTAACTGTCCAATTAAAAAATGGGCAGAAGACGTGAATAGACACTTCAGCAAATACATGAAGAAATGCTCATGATCATTAGCCATCAGAGAGATGTAAATCAAAATGAAATACTATCTCACCCCAGCACTAATGGCAAAGTTCAACAAGACAGAAAATAACAGATGCTGGAGAGGATGTGGAGAGATCGGGACTCTCCTGCACTGCTGGTGGGACTGTAAAATAATACAACCACTGTGGAAAACAGTATGGTGATTCCTTAAAAAGCTGGAATTAGAAATACCATTTGACCCAGAAATCTCATTACTAGGTGTATATCCTAAAGAAATGAGAGCCAGGACAAGAACAGATATATGCACACCCGTGTTCATTGCAGCACTATTTACAATAGCAAAAAGATGGAAACAATCTGTGTGCCCATCAACAGAAGAATGGATAACCACACTATGGTACACACACAATGGAATACTATGCAACATTAAATAATAACATAGAATTTGCAAAACACAGCATAACATGGATGAACTTGGAGGACATTATGCTGAGTAAAATAAGTCAATCAAGGAAGGACAAATATAGTATTAGTCCATTATTGTAAACACGCAAGGAAAGATTTATATACGGAAGGAAACTTTGTTTGTTTGTTACCGGGGTGGAAGGGGAGTGTAGGGGAGGGAACACTGCAAAAAAAAAAAAAAATTGACCCATGTCACTTTAGTTTTGTGTATTTCATTTCCATTAATCATATTTCAATAAAACATATTTTAAAAAAGAAAGACTAGAAACAGAATTCCAAGCATTTTCCCTACTTGAAGAGTTATCAGCAATGCTAATGAATAGCCCTAGACTCAGATTAAGAGCCATGGCAGCATCCCAACTTTTCAATTTGAGGATTCCAATGAAAATTCTTTTTTTTTTCTGTTTGAATGTGCTTTCCTCTCCTCACTGCAAACAGAGAATAAACCAGGGGCTAGCAGTATTAAAGAGTGAAATAGGATGCCAGCATGCAAATAATTACTTCCTACAAAAGCACTCATCCTTTCATAAATTATAACAAAAAGTTGCCATAGAGTCAACTCCAACTCATGGTGATTCTCGTGTTGAAGAACCGCTCTCCATGGTGTTTTCAAGGCTGTGTGTGACCTTTCATAAGCAGAGCGTCAGGACTCTCTTCCAAGGAGCTTCTATGGGTGTGAACTACCAACCTTCTGGTTAGTAGTCCAGCACTTAACTATTTGAACTACATGGACATAATGGTCCTGGAAAGCTGTGTGTCCACCATAGGCTGGCAAAATCAGTTATTTTAGAGTATTGATAAAGGTCCCTAGGTCACATGAACAGTTTGTGCTTGACTGCTAATCTAAGGGTTGACAGGCAGAACTCACCCACTAGTACTGCATAGAAGAACTGCCCCACAGGGTTTCTAAGGCTGAAATCTAAGGCTGAAAATCTTGCTAAGGCTGAAATCTTTACAGAAGCAGACTGCTACATCTTTACCTCACAGAGCTGCTAGGGGGTTTGAACCACCGATATTCCAGTTAGCAGCCAAGTGCTTAACCACTGTGCCACAAAGCAGTCTCTAATTTTAAGTTAGGAGGTCATTATTTGAGTTCAGGTTCTCTTAGAAGCTGTCATTTAACCTCTCTTGAGTTTTTTTTTTTTTTTTCCCTTTAAGTGCAGTAGGTGTCATAACCAAATGAGTTAGATAAGAGGCAGTGCTTGGTTAACTGTAGCTGATTTATTATTACTAATAATTGTTATTAAATAGGAGTTACACAAGTAAACCTGAAAATACATAGAAGATTGCAAGAGAATGATTGTGATCCAAAAGTGACCAAAAGATTCTGAGGTCATGCCAACAGCTAGCTAAGGAAGAGCATCCTCCCAGCCTGCCATTCCTACTTTTTTCAATTATACTTCTTATGACCCATCATTAGGAGACTCCAATGTACATAAATTCAATAAACATATGCATCATTACCAAACAATCTTTACCTGTACAAAAAACCAAAGCAGTATAGGGTTTCTCTCTAGGGAAATCTTTAGAAAATTGAAACGTATGTCATTTTTGGAAATTTGATTTGGCCACAACCACTTAGGGATAGTTCTCTTAGAGAAATCCAAAACATCTGTAGTAGATTGCTGGGTATTTGCAGTACGCTCACTACTCAGAGACTGGTATACTGGGTTGTGCACTGCTATATCCTATAGGATTTAATTTTCAAATGTGTGTTTTTTCTTTTTCCCCCTTTTAACCCACTAATTTCTTTGAGGGTTCCATGATACCCTGTTGTTCACCTCCTCTGAACAAAAGAAACCTGGGGCTGCTCTGACTCACCAATTTTAAAAGGAAAACTTTAGCCCTTGGGCCTGAAGGAGAGTAGACTGGGAGAGAACGAAAGTAGCCCACTCACCGGAAGTCCACAGGGGGCAGTGAGGATGGGCATCTCTGTGCTGCAAAGAGGAGCCTCCCCATACCAGGGCCTCCCTGACTTCATCCTCTGGGTCCACCCTGTATATTTCAGCTCATGAGCCTGAGATTGAGGGTTGGGGCCTTTTTATTCATGTATTGATCATTTACAATCCACTATTGTATTTCCTTCAGAGGAATACAGACAGGTAAATACCACGAGAAGATGGTGTGGCATTAAGGAGGGACAGGAGACCTCTGTTCTAATCCTGGCTCTGTCCCTCCCTTGCTGTGAGGCCCTGTGTTTCTGAGAGCCTTACCTTGGTCTCTTCATCAACAACCTAGAGCCCTCTCCTCTCTCTGCTCTGGCAACCTGTGTGGACATTTGTTATCTTCTCTGGTATGTGTTTTTCAAAACTTTTCAATATTCATGCCCCACCCTGCTTTTTTTTTTTTTTTTTAAATTTTTTAATGGATCTCCCTACAATGGAGGCTCAGGATTTCCAACTTAAGAAAGCTTAGGATTGAGAACCTGGTTGACAGAAGGCACCGGAGGAGTTGGTATGAATTGCCTTGATGCAAAAAGCTCTTCTTTTACCTCAGATTGTGTGTATTATTTGGTGTGGCTGAGAGGTACTAAGGAGCTCTGGTGGTATAGAGGTGAAGGCACTTGGTTGCTAACCAAAAGATTTGTGGTTCAAACCCACCAGCTGCTCTGCAATAGAAAGATGAGGCAGTCTGCTTCTATAAAGATTTACAGCCTTGGAAACCCGATGGGGGTCCTTATGAGCTGGGATTGAATTGATGACAGTGAGTTTGGTTTTTGGTTTGAGGGGTTCTGACAAAGATAATGGGCTATTAAAGTGCCACTCCCTCCCCCCCCCCCCCCAAAAACAAACAAAAAAAAAAAAAAAAAAAAAAGAGCACCTCGGGGCTGCAGCGCTCGCCGGGGGGAGGCCTCCTGCCGTGACAGCGCTGAAATTCACAAAACTAAAGTTGCAAACAACAATGCATTTTTTGCCACCTCGCCTATGGGCTATTAAAGTGCCACTCCCTCCCCCCCCCCCACCAAAAACAAACAAACAAAAACCTTCCTTTTGCTCCAGCCCCTAAATCCCTGACATGAGGAACCACATTTTAGGTGGGGTGTGGGTGAGATGGCACTGCCTTTGCCACCAAACCTGTGAATCCTGACCCGACTCCTCACAGCTCATCCATTGACCAGTGGCCTCTGGGTGGCAGTAGAGATGTAATTTTCTCAAACAGATTTTTCTTACCTATATTGATGAAGTCTGATCGATACTGACAAGTCATCCCAAATCCAAAGTCTCTCCAAAATCCCGTTTCCTTCTTTATGACCTGCAAGAAATGCACTGTCATCTGAGGGGGAAAGATATGATGGAAATAAAATTTAATAAAAAGTATTCACAAACTCATGGGAACAGTGTTAAATGTGGAGCAGTCCCATCGCTGATAAACAGAAGATCGTGTGGTTTTGAGTCCTTTCAGACAGTGAGGAATACAGTAAACTCACTGCTGAGAAAATGGAGCCTTGTGAGTTTTGGCACCTCGGGTTGGAATGTTCCTAGGGTGTAGGCATGAAAACACACACACACATACACACAATCACAAACAAACTGGGAGGGTAAGTTTTTTGAGCAGCACCGTGGAAAAGCCACCTACGTGTCTGGCCTAGCACCAGTGCCAGAGAGAATTCAAGGCCTCAGCCCCTCACACAGGGCCAGGCAGGGAGCCAGCTAAGGGCTCAGGAAGTTGAGAAAAGGGATAGAGAACAACTTGGAATTCAGCTACCCTGGCACAGTCAACAGGGCTCCCGTGAGGAATAAAAAGTAGTATCAGAAAGCCTTCAGTGGGTTACTGGCTCTATGACTCTGCTAACTCCTGCTTGCTGAGGGAAAGGGCACTCAAAGCCTAGGTTCTGAAAAAAGAACTCTGTCCACTCACCTTCACACCATTTAAGAACTGAATGGCTCCAAAAAGTACACATAGTGGTGCCAGATGAAGACTGCCTAAGGGAGGCCATCCAAGAGGTAGCCATCTTTACAAAGAGACCTGGCCTGGATTCTTACTTGCAAGTAAACTTCAAATATTATTTGCTGAAGCAGCAAAACTTTTTTTTTTTTTTTTTCCTAATTTATAGATTTATTGGCTGGGGTAATTCTAGGAATGGCTTTAAGATTTTAAAAAAGTTTGATACTTTATGTAACTTTCACTTATGTATCTTAGCTTTTCTATGTGATACTTTCAATCATAGTAGATAGTATCATAGAGATCATAGTAGTTATTTTTCATGATTCATTCTGATAGTTAACATAGGTGCTTAGATGAATGTCCCCTACCTTGGGGTGGGGGGAGATGGGGGAGTTGCAGCAGGAAATTCCCTTTTGCTGGGGTTTCTGCATTTGTTTGGGACATCTGGCTCTGCTTGCTGCTGATTAGAAACACTATATGTGGTGAGAGGAGCCCAGAGTCTTGTCCCAACTTGACCACTGGCTGGTTTTTCACCTCAGGCAAGTCCAAACACTTCTTTGAGTCTCTATCTCCTTTCATGTAATATGTAGGGATTGAGTTATTGAGCACCCCTAAGGTCTCTTGTGGGAGCTCTGGTAGCATAGTGGCTAAGGCACTTGACTGCTAACCAGAAAGCTGGCGGTTCAAACCCACCAGCCACTCCTCGGAAGGAAGGTTGGGCAATCCTACTTCTGTAGTGATACTGCCTCGGAAACCCAAGGAGGGGTCGCTATGAGTCAGGGCTGACTTGACGGCACATAACAACAACAACAAAGGTCTCTTGTAAGGAGCTTTGATGTTGCAGTGGTTAAGGCATTTGGCTGCTAGCCAAAACGTTGATGGTTCAAATCCACCAGCCACTCTGCAAAAAAGATAAGGGGGTCAGCTTCCAGAAAGATTTACAGCCTTGGAAATCCAGTGGAGTCGCTGTGAGTTGGAATCGACTTGATGGCAGTGAGCTTGGTTTTGATAAGGTTCCTTGTAGCTCTAACATCTGAATATTTATCATGTCACTATTATTCCACGTTAGAAGATTCACTTTATCCATAAAACAAAAAAACACCCAAACCTGCTGCCCAGTCAATTTTGACTCACGGCGACCCCCATGTATGTCAAAGTAGAACTGCTCCATGAAGACTTTTTGGGTGTGATCTTACAGAAGCATACTGCCAGGCCTGTCTGCCGTGCTGCTGATGGTGGGTTCAAACTATCAACGATTAGGTTAGGAGTCAAGCATAAACCATTTGGACCACTCAGGAACCTGAACTTTATCACAGGCTAAATGACACACTTGACAAATGGTTGGAAGAAGTGCTGATGAATCATAAAAATTCCTTTACTCTGTAACCTATTAAACTATCTTATTTTCAGTACAACGTACAAGTAGATGAAACTTACTACTGTTAGTAAGTATCAGGACTACCCAAGGAAAATAAATATCAAGGAAGGTTCTGTGGGTTAAAGTTGTTCCCAGCAGATGTTCTCAAATTTCACTTCAGAACAAAAGGGCTGTTTTACAAAATCTCCCTAATGGCAAGATAATTTCATTAGTATCAACTGGAAAGATTTCGCAGGGCAAGAAATCCTGGGAAAAGCTCCACTGGGCCTTTTTTTCTTTTGAATTGTTTCTGTTCCATACCTGTTATACCAGGTGCATCATTTCTGTTGCAGCTAATAGCTTAATACCTCTTCTGCTAGCCAGGACTCAGGCAAGTCCTCTAGGCTTCTGGATAAAAATGGAGTTAAAGAGAAGTGCCAATATCCAAACTTCAAATATTTGGCTGAGATCTATAAGGCATTTTTTTTTTTTTTTTAAAAAAAAAAAAAAAAGCTTTAAACAGGAAAAACAATCAGCAGAGCTTGGAAAGCAAGACAAGTGAGAGCTCCAAGTGGCCAGCCCTGAACCCTGGTTTGAGTGGATAGAGCACCTCACAAGGTCGAAGGGCAGGCTTCATCTGGAAAGCCTGTAACAGGGACATACTGATTTGTGAGCTGGGGAGTAAACTATATAAACAGTTATTAATAATAGCATGTATTAAAGTTGGCAGGCCATGAAAAGCCGTATCTGAAGAGCTCATTGAAATTTAGCACTTTGTGGAAACAGATTTTGTTGTGCCCACAGCATATAATTTCAGGGGAAGATGGAGTTCACATATGACAGGCTCTCCCACCCATAGCTGTGCTGAATAACGAACTGGCGTGCTGCCGTCACTGAGTTGCCCAGTAGGCGTGAGCACTCTCCAGTGCGCAGCACATCACTCTGTGGTCCTGTTTAAAACCTTGCAGGGGGAGCTGCCATTGAGTCAACTCCAACTCATGGCAACTCCAAGTGTGTTAGAGTACAATTTGCTCCACAAGGTTTTCAACGGCTGATTTTCAGAATTAAATCGCCAGCCCTTTCCTCCGAGGTGCCTCTGGATGGATTCAAAGCACCAACTTTTCAGTTAGTAGCTGAGCAATTAACTGTCTGCACCATACCGGGACTTAAACCTACAACTTAAATCTACATCTCTGCAAAATTCTGTGAGGTTAAACTGGCATGGTGTAGTGGCTTCCTAGTGCAATAAAGATAAAATCCGTGAGGAAAGCTCTAGCCTACAAAAGCCCTGTTGGCACTCTAACCCCTCCCTGCCTTGCCCATTTCATCTCTTACAACTCTTCTCCTTTGCCTCCAATTACTACACTCTGGCCACACCACCCTTTCTTCATCTCCTTGAACTTGCAAGGCTCATATGTCTCTAAGGCGTGGAACCTATGATCCTCCCCATCTGGGTCACTCTCCCTGCATACTACCTGGCTCTACTCCAATGTCACTTCCTCAGCATGGTCACCCTGGTCCTGACCCTTCCAGCCAGGGTCAGCACTCCTTTCCCCACCAGGCCACTCTACACCATCATTCAGGTTTTTTTTTTTTTTTTTCCCTTAACACCAAACTCACTGCCGTCGAGGTGGATCTGACTTACAGCGAACCCCCCTTGGGTTTCCGAGGCAGTATCTCTACAGATGTAGATTGCCCAATCTTCCTTCTGAGGAGTGGCTGGTGGGTTTGAATCGCCAGCCTTCTGGTTAGCAGTCAAATGTCTTAGGCACTACATTAACACTTTGTTGTTGTTATTTGTTGTTGAGTCAGCCCCGACTCATAGTGACCCCTCCTTGGGTTTCCAAGGCAGTATCACTATAGAAGTAGGATTGCCCAACCTTCCTTCCAAGGAGTGGCTGGTGGGTTTGAACTGCCTGCCTTCTGGTTAGCAGTCAAGTGCCTTAGGTACTATGCTACCAGAGCTCCTACACCAACACTCAGCACTCTGAAATAATCTTCTTGCTGCATTTGTCTGTTTCTTGATTATCTTCGCCCACCATCACTGGTGCACATAAGCCTGGGGATGTGGAGACTTGGTCTCATTCATGGCTATGACTCCAGCACCCAGAACTCAGTCTGACGTAGCAGGGTGCCGTCAAGTCAACTCCAACTTACGGTGACTCCACATGTATCAGAATAGAGCTGTTCCATAAGGTTTTCATTGGCTGACTATTCAAAAGCAGATCATCAGACCTTTTTTCCAAAAAGCCTCTTGGTGGACATGAACCATTAACCTTATGGTTAGCAGTCAGGCATGTTAACCATTCACACCACTCAGGGGTATTCCATAACACACAGCAAACACTCAATAAATACTTCTTAGTGAACGAATGAGGAGCAGTCGCAGGGTAGGGATAGAGCCAGCCCACTAGATATAGACGCATTCCAAGTAGGAGAGACTTGTCAGCGAGTGGTTCAGTGAAGGCTCAGGAATTCCAGTAGTGAAAACTCTCAAAATTATGTGGTTCTGCATCAAAAGACAGAAAACGTTTTTTCCCTTCCTGAGTCTTAACATGGTGGGTGTGACTCCTTAGAAACTCTTGCAGCCATAAGGAGCCCCACTGTTATGTTTAAATGTTAAAAAGATTTGTCCTTTGGGTTCTGCACTGAGGCTGTTTGGCTACAGCTGGGAAGGAAGAAACCCTGAGATAAAAGATTACACTTCAACAGAAAAGCATCTCCTGCCCTGTATTTCACTGATATGTTTTCAAGTGCTAGCCTCATTTTCTAAAAAGTCCTCTAGTGGCTGGCCTCCTCTCCACTCTCTCTGCTGGGCCCTTTCTGTTCCACCTTAGATCTCAGTGGAGCACTGTGGGCATGAATACACCACAAAAGGATAGTTGTCAGGCCTGCTCTCTCACAGGAAGTTTCCAGGGCTGAAGCTCTGTAGGCGATTCACGTGATGGGGGTGATTATTTTCTATGAGGACCTAAACACAAAGCACAAACCAGCATCTCTCCATAAAAAT